GCAGAACCAGAGCCAGTCTGTGAAAACTACAGAAAGATTTCTGTTAGATTTCAAAAGGAACTCACCTGATTATATGAGCCCTCAGCCAGCAAAAGCAATAGCTACTTTTCCTCTCTAGAAGTCTTCAAAGAAAGACTTGGATGATTATTTGCATCCTGCTCAAAGAATTTGGATTAGATGATTTCTGTGATTGTCCTCAACTCTGTGATTCTACCAACATTGTGAAGTAAACTCCAAATGCCAGTTTTTATTGAGGGTCACTTTCGGTCTGTTCATTAAGATACCAGGCTAGAAGCCAAGAGACTGTGAGTTCTTGTCCCACCTTAGGCATAAAAAACCAGCTGGATGACTTTGGGTGGGTCACACTTTCTTTCAGTCCAACTCACCTGTCCCAACCCAATTCACCTCACTGAATTGTTGTGGGCAAAATAGGAGGAAGGAATATGTGTGCATGTTTTCTGCATTGAGTTATATATAAAAATAATAAAGGCAGAAAATAAATAAAATTATAAATGAAGTTCACAAATTGAAAGTGTTATGTTCAGTTCTAAATGAGCTCAGAAGAACTGTTTCTTGTAAAATACGGTCACATGACTTCAGGATGCTACAAATGGCTATTAATGCAGACATGATATAAGCACCTGAAGTTCAGTCACATTTTGGAGGGAGCCCAAGTATCAAAACTTTGAATTCAGCTCATAAGTTTTCTTTTTCAAATTGGATATAACTTTGAAGACTGCCTGTAAAGGTACAATTTTCAAGCCATTGCATTTGAATATTTTCCTTTCACAAAAATCAAATATTTTCTATTTATTTGGAGGAATAAGAATATTAATTTATTAAATATTAATACAATATTCCTCTGCAAGAACAAATGTTTTCTTAATATGAAGAAAATGTTGACATTTTATTCTTAAGCTTTGTGCAAATTTTGTGACTTGTCTCTTTAGGTACTACTAGCCAAGGTGCAAAACTCACTCATACAATAATCAATCAGTCAACAGAAAAATTGAGAAATCTGGACTGCAAAATTCAAAATAAACCCTAGACACCAAAGAACTATATAAAAAGAGTCACCTTTCAGAGTGAGATGGATGGCATATAAATTTATTTAATAAATAACAAATATCTTATTCTCCAATTCTTTGCTGCCCATTGAATGTCTGTCAGGATCTAGTAACCTTAATCAATGGACTAGGAGCAGTCTGAGTAAAAAAGTTGTCATAGAGATATGATGATGTGCTCCAGATTAATTTCTACTAGAAGGCAGATAAAAATGTTCCAAGTTGAGGAAAAAGTATTTGAAATGTTTAGAAATGTAAACTATAAACAAATAAATTTGGTATCACTTGGGTTATAAAGACCTAGTTTTCTGTGAATCTCAATATATGTAAAAATACGTGCTGCATTCCGTCAAATTATTTTACTTTCCCAGATGGATCCTTGCCATGGGCATTGAAGATGTTACATGACAATTTTGTACTTTTTTTTTCTGGACCTGGTATGAATTCAGAGGTTGAATTCTATCATGACAATTAGACTGTGGAATTTGGATATTTACAAGATGTTGCAATTTGTTCTCTGAAAACCTTGGTGACTGAAGGTACCAAGTGGTGTTCATTATGAATTAACCACTTCTATTTTTAATGCCAATTTCCCCAAATTATGTATTTTTTATTAATAGACTGTTCAGTTATAGGACCAGCTAAATATAGTGTTTCCATCTTCATGGACTGCTCAAGTACTTGATTTCAAATCATGCATAACAATTCACTGCGTATTTCTATTTTCCTTCTTTTAGCTTTCTCAAGTAGACCTAGAAATTACCTAAGAGTAATGGTTAGCAGATAGCAAAACAAGGCAGGAAATAAAACTATATTTATGTCAGGCTTCCTACCAGGCTTAATTAAAATCAACTGTCAAAATTCCTAACTCTCTTACTCAGAAATTGGCAGATTTGACATAATATTCTCAGATATAACTCTACCTGGATTCCATGAACCCACTAGTGAAGATGTACCCAGACTGTTTGCCTAGTTTTCTGCTTTAGCTTTATTTACTTTTTTCTTCCCTCCCACATGAATTCAAAGCTTTGATTGCCTGATGTGTTCTTGTCTTTCCAGCTTCATTTCTTAAATTTGTGATACCTAAGAACCTCTTCTAGAGTTTTTTGTGGTTTTTAGTGGCCTACTTGTTCATTTTTGCATGGTCTAACCTAGCCACACAATAAGTACCACGGCAAATCCTATATGCCAAAAAATGGCATTTTGCAGTTATATATGTTATTTTCTGGTTATAGCGATATATTGATATAAAATAGCAATTCCAAGTGTGAAGTTATTATTTTCCTCAATAGATGGCGCTAGAAAATTGTTCATTGGCTATTTCTGACATGTTTCTGATGTTATTCAGGGATATAACTCCCCCCCATTCCCTTGGCCTAGAAAGAAAACTCACATTGATTCTGCATAGCATTAGAAGCATCCACAATATTCGGCAGGGACAAATAAGTATCTTGTATTTCTAGGTGATATATTTTTCATGAGTACTGTATTGCATATCTGGGAAAAGGGAGATTACCTAAGACATGTTCAAATTTGGAAAAAGAATTTTTTACAAATATGAAATTGGGAAAACAGTGCATTTATAGAGACCATACAATTCATATAAATCGGTTCATTCTGATGTATGCTAATATACTGCATCTGCAGGTTTTATTCTTGCTTATAGTATATTATATGTAAAATAGATATTTGACATTTCGAGTGAACAAGAAATAGACTTTTCAATTTAATTTTTTTTAATTGAGTTTGATAAGGCAGGGTGGAATCACATCTATATATTTACCAAGACAAATAATGTGTTTGTTTCAAAGTGTAATTGGCATTTCAGAAAGAAATATAATCTTCTCATGTTCTAACTTTAGCAGCACTCACAAATTCCAGAAAAATTCAGATTACTGGATCAAAAAAAATTCAAAAGTTGAGTGGGATTGAAAATGAAATACTGGTAGTTCATCAATTCGGCTTAAATCACTTGTATTTTCATTTACTTTTTGACATAATAAAAATAATATGGAATTGAACTGTTAATTATTGATTAGACTAAAACTACCTCAGAAAGTTACACAGGAAAATAAAATGGAAGATCATAGTAAAATTACTTTTGCATCAAGTGATTATAATGGATTAAAAAATCTCTAAAACATTGAAGAGAACAGAACTATTGCAAATCAAATAAGGATCTGAGCTAGTTATAATCAAATAATTGAATTATAAAATAACAAAGGGACACGATGACTCAGCAGTTAAAGATGCTGAGCTCATCAGCTGGAAAACTATGTTCGAGACCCAAATGCTGCATGACAGGGGTCCCACCCTTGTCTCAGCAATTTGAAAACAAGCAAATGTGAATAGATAAATAGGCACCATTTTAATAGGAAGGTAGCACCATTCCATGCACCTCAGCATATAGTCATGCTGGCCACATGACCATGGAAATGGACAGTGCTGGTTTCCTCAGCTACGAAATTGAGATGAGCACTGCCCCTTAGAGTCGGGCATGACTGAAAGTGGAAACATTTAGCTTTACAATAAAATGGAAGGCTTGCCTTTATAAATCTTAGTCCACTAGATTTCTGCATATAAAATTGTTTTTATTATACAATATAATCTTAATAATATTCAGCAACACTTGCATTACAAAAGCAATGGCAAATACAAAAAAAAAGCCTGAATGCCAGTATCTGAATACAGCTGTGGACAAAAAGCATGCATGCTAAATTGTTTTTGTACCTTTTACTTTATCCAGCAAATTTGAGGCAACTTCTGCAAGAGCAATGCATATATTCTGAGATGCAACCCTGGAAATAAAGTAAGTAAAAATTTAGCTTAGAATGATGGAAATAATACTGATTATCAAAGTCTCAATTGGCAATATAAAAGTAAGACAGTATTGTAAAGCAAATACATTTGCATTATTATAACAGGTTATCAGTAATACTGAGGTATTACTCAGGAACTTCTCAGTGCATTCATTCATTTCACTATTATACTTGCACTAATTATCAGTTATTACATATTTTGTGTTTATTGTCTAGGTTTTTATAATAAAGATTAAAATTTGAGCCTATGTTCTATAGTTATAAATAGCTTATTTTAAAAGGTTAAGTTCTAGATCAGAGGTGTCAAACTTGCGTCGGACATGACATATTGTGACTTTTTCTCCCTTTGCTAAACCAGGCATGGGCATAGCCAGTATGTGATGCATCCAGCCTGCGGGCTACAAGTTTGACATCCCTGTTCTAGATGAACAGCGAAGCTGTTGCAGTTTATGTGTATGTTGAACATCAGAACTTTGAACATTAATTTTTTAATATTAATTTTTCCAATTAATATTATTGTAAATTGTTACATTTTTATGAAATTTAATAGGTAACTTCTTCAATCTTAGAAAATACCTTTAGAGGAGACACAATTGCATACCTTTTTTGAATAAAGGTTACTTCTGTCAGCCCTTTTAGATAGGCAAAATCAGAAAATGGAAAACTCAAAAAATATTGGAACGCTATTGATATAATCCATGAAAACAGAACTTTAAAATCCTGTCAATGTTTTTTCTTCCTTCCTTTTTATACCAAAGAGAGTTAAGGCCTGATATTCCTGAGTTTCTCACATTTTCCTGGGCCAAGCTTATGTTTTAGTAACAGTTACAGCATATTGTCTTCAAGGTGATGACTATATTGTTCTATAGCTTCTTAGCAATTTCTATAGAAGTGCAAGTAAAATCTATATTATAATTTGTTTTACAGATTAATGCAGATTCATATGACTGGACATCAGTTCTGATTTCAACGCAACCAAGGATCACTTGTACTGGTACTTTAACAACTCCATCAATCCTTAGTTTGGTCACCAAGAACCGCAAAACTGCTGTCCACGTGGACTGGTGCTGACGCTTCTCGTCCATCTGCCAGGGCCTCTCCATCTAAACCTAAAGACATGGCCACAAATGGAACAAAAGTAGCTGATGGGCAAATCTCCACAGAACTTAGTGATGCCTCAATTACTAATGATAAGCCGAAGACTCTAGTAGTGAAGGTGCAGAAGAAAAAAGGAGACATTCCAGACAGAGATGTCTGGAAGGGAAAATTTGATTTTCTTATGTCTTGTGTTGGCTATGCAATTGGTTTGGGGAATGTGTGGCGGTTCCCATACCTATGTGGGAAAAATGGAGGAGGTATATATTTAACTTATTTGTGCTGACTATATTTGATTAGAATTCAAAGCCTTCTTTGATGAATATAGACAAGGGACACATGATTAATATAATAAATCTTAACCTAAGTATCAAAATCTATGACGGGATTTTTAGCAAAACCAGCCAAATAATTTTTACTCTTGAAATGCTACTGCAGTTGTTGTAATCCCCTCATTATCTTGTTCCTAACAGGTGATTGTTTCATTTCTCCTATTTGCAAAAGTATTTGGGAAGATTGGCTTGTACAGAACTTGTGGCCCTTCCTGGAGAACAAGCCTTTTGAAAACTCATGTCCTTGTCACCTCTTTTATCAATTAATACAGTATCCTCTCTTGGGGCTACAGTTGATATAAAATACTGATGGGGCAGAGCTAATGCAGGCATATAACACTGGTATTGTGACTTTTGCAATGGTTAATCAATTGATTTCCGGGTACTATTCAGAATTGGATAAGCCCGTGATGGCATGAGAATCAGGTACTGCATCAGCTGTCTGGTTCTATCATTTGTATAGTGATGCTGAAAGAGTACCTGCCATAGAGAAGACTTGGAAGGGTAGAAACCAGTGCATTTTAATAGTAGCCTTAATTTCATGGCCTTCTCTCTTGCTGTTTAAAACAGCCTTGAAAACAGTTCTATCTAAAGGAGCTTTTAACAGTTGAGAATGTCTCTAACATAGTAATGCCTGTAATGATATATTGCCTTTATTAGTTTGTTATATTAGTTTTTATCTTGTAAATACTTACGAATCCTAAGTGAGCCTGGCCGTGGAAAAATGCAATAAACCAATCACCTATACTGCACCTTGGAACAAATTTACATTTACAAACAATAATGTATTTGAATTATTATCTATGTTTACATCTTTTGGAGGGGAATAGAAACAATACCACTAGTAATCAAAATAACAGTAGCTGTATAATAATAGATTTTTTTTACTCTTTGTCTTCCATATCATGAGGACTACTGTGTTTGTTTCATATAATGATATATAATTATCATGAACAGCAGCTAATTTGTGTCTTGTTTATTCTGGAAGCATCTGCTATAGTCTTTTACCAGAAAGCAAAACTAGCCTGGCAGAACTGATTTCTGAAAATTAGAAATTGTGTAGCTTGGAGGGCCAGGAGTATAAATATGAGAAAAGCAGTGTCCTTGTGACTGCTAACTACTCTTGTTTTAAAATTGGCTCCACTGTTCCTCATTGAATAAAAACTGGAAAGGAATACACAAGATTTCTCTATTACATATAAAACAGTTTTAATTTGAAAAATAAGTGTTCTGTAGGGGGAAGTTGTATCGAAAAATGTCTACCACAATCATATCATTTCTAAAGCTAAAGTATATACTCCCAAACAGTGCCTCACATACAAAAAACTCAATGGATCTAGAAAAGGCTTACTTTGGTTGCAAGAGGCACAAAATAAAAATAAAAGAAATGACTTCTCACATTCCATAACTAAATGGAAAAAGAGTACAATCCAAATTGTATAAGCAATATTTTAATCTGCATTTAGTGTTAGTGTTCCTTTCCTAATTTTTCTGCCTAGTATTTTTCATTCTTAGGAACCATTTTGTATCATTTCAGGGGCATTCCTGATTCCTTATTTCCTTACTTTAATTTTCGCGGGAGTTCCCCTGTTTCTTTTGGAATGCTCGCTTGGCCAGTTCACATCCATTGGAGGTCTTGGAGTCTGGAAGCTTGCGCCAATGTTCAAAGGTATAATTTTGTTTTATACGCATTCCTATTAACTCTGAAATGGTCTTGCATATATTGGGAATACCAGCTGTCATTGGAAGCAAAAACACATATTCTGAAACCCTTTTCATAGGCTGCAGAAATTCAGCTGAATTTCTTCCCCTCAGGAAGGGAAGCATTTTGGTATTTCAAGATTTCAAAATAGTTTTCAGCACCATTGCTGCAGGCTGGTTAAGGATTTCCCCTCCATTACAATATTTTAGAAAAAATGGCTGGCTGCCAGGAGGATTTCAACTCCATATGAATTTCACATTCCTGGAAGGCAGCTCTTTCAATCTGCTTAATGACCCAAGAGTTTGACTAATGACTGCAACAAGAAGTGTGGGAATTATGGCAATTAAGCAAAGTAGTGCCTTGGACATCTTACTTAATGACTACTTCACTGACTGACCAAGTTGAAGACTATCCAGACTATTTATCTAGACTAGAGTTTTGTTTTGCTTTTTTTCACCTCTTATATGTTATTTGGCTTGTTCATGCAAGTGTCACTGTGAAAAAAAAGTCAGACTAAGATTAAATATGAATAAGACAGAACCAATGGCAACAGATATAACAGCCAGCCTTAGAATTAACAATGATGTTTGTTTATTTGTTTGTTTGTTTGCTTATTTATAAAATGTATTTCCACCCCTATTATATCCAACAACTCTGGACAGCCTACAACACAAAAGTTAGTGAAGTGGTGGATAATGTCTGCATTTTAGGATTGACTATCCACAGAAAAAGAACCAACAGAAATTAGCACCTGGTAGAGTAACCATGAAAGCCTTGGTAAAAATATTCAGCTATTGGGATGTACCTATAGCTACATCTGATATTATGCAGGCATTAATTTTCCCTTGACACTCCATAGAAGTGAAAATTGGACTTGAAGAAGCAAGTTAGAAAGAGCATTGATGCCTTTGAACCTTACGTTCTTACTTGAAGTGCAAAGGACAAAGCTAAAATTATCACATTTCAGATGCATTATGACAGTGGTTCTTAACCTTTTCTTCACCACAGAACCCCTTTGAATAACTTTTGTGGCCATGGACCATAGCCATGGACCACCAAGACTTAACACAAGATTTAAAGCACTAGACTGCATCAAGCCTTTATGGACCCCCTGTGATGACATTGTCTGCAGACCACAGGTTGACAACCACTGCATTTTGAAAAGACCTAGCTCTCTGGAGATAACTTTAATTCTGGGAAAGATGGGAGGAAAGAGAAGAAGACAACCAAGAATAAGATGTACACAGTTGCACACTGTGCACTGTGCACACAGTTGCAACACAGTTGCAGCAGAACCATTAGAGGACCCAAAGGATTATGCTAGGGACATACCTTCTGGAGAAAATCAAGTTGATAGCACATAATCAATCAGAAAAGAGGACTTCAATATAATCTTTACCCAAGAATCTCTAATCATTCTTTCAGAACAACAAATTATTCCCTTTCATTTCTGGTAGTTTATAATATTCTGTCTTCTCTTTTTTTAAACCTCCAGCCAGATTTCTGCCACTTTCATACAATTACAGAATGTCATTTAATAAATATTCATTCCCTCTTATTCTCTTCAGTACATATACTTTCAGTTAATTTATCTAGTTATTTTTGACTCTTTGAACACAAACAGAAGGTGGAGTTTAATATTAAGATGGTTTGGAATGATAGTCTGGATCTTGCTCTGTTAAGAGTGGCTATAATATTCAATCTTGGTAAAAGAATTTTATCTTATTTGAAGCAAAGTCTTGTAAAAAATTTTTAATAACCTTATGCTCCACTATTAATAATGAATAAATAAATAAACAAAACAGTGATCTACCAATTTCTCCTACAGGTGTGGGATTAGCTGCTGCTGTTCTGTCCTTCTGGCTTAACATTTACTACATTGTGATTATTTCCTGGGCCATATATTACTTATATAACTCTTTTACTACAGTAAGTGACCTTTCTTTTTTATTTTAAAAATAGCTGTTTAAAAACAGCTTGGTCTGATTCATACTGCCTTAAGGTATGACTTAGATCTGAGGATTATATTTCTATCCAGTTTAAACTTGTATATTTCATTGTTTTAAGCTAGATTTCATCAAATAATGTTAATTGCCACGAATCAGTCCAGATGATTTTATTTGTCTTACTAATAATATGTATATCTACAAAAAGAAGAGAAGCTATAATAAAGCACTACCTACAAATGGCAATCAGCCAGATAGAAGCTAATAAAATAGTTATTAAAATACTCACAGAGCCAGCGAATATTAGAGCAGCTTTTAAAATGGGATGGCTAAGTGGAAAATAAGCTTCTCAGTCTAACAACTATCTATGGTATGCAAGCAGGATACCAGTTTATATTTTTAACACAGAGAGAGGCACACACACACACACACACACACACACACTTTTGTGCAATGTACTACCACATCCTCATCTGCTCTTAGTCTGAAAGTAATGCTACTGTATTTATTCATTCATTTATGTAGTGTCCCAGTGACACTGAAATTCGCTTTCGGCTGCTTATGAGCAACCAAAGAAAAATTGGCATCCAACTTTTACCCTTTTGCTCGTGCTAATCTTTCCTGCTGGAAAAGTGAGGGGTAATACATTGCCCAAGGACATCTAGTAAGTCATTTGCTGAGCTGAAATTTGATTAATCCATCATTTTTGGGCCCATACAGAATTGAAAGATATTTTCCTCTTTACAAAGAAGAGTAAGATCAATTTAAATATATTTTGGTGGCTTAATCATAGCTAAGTTGTAACAAAATAGTTTGAAATATATATGTTTTAGAAATTATTAGAATAATAGACATTTTCCACTTTCTCTCTTCAGTGAGTTTATTGCAAAACTGTATTTGTGCACACGAAAAGTAGGATGTACCAAACTCTTAGGATAAATAGGAGCTATACTATTTAGTTATCCATTCATTCAATTTGGATGGACACTCATATCAAATCTACATGGGTAACAATATTTAAAAGCAATATAAAAACCACAGATCAATTGTAAAAAAATATAAATACTGATAGAAGAGAATATTTGTAGCTCAGGATTAAACTGTGGGGTTCTTGATGCTCTCTGAGCTTGATGGTTTTCTTGCAGACATAAAGACATCTACATACCATTCAAAATATTCAAAAAAAGAACAAAAAGACCAAAATATCTCTTCACCACCCATCAACTTCCAGACAAGCAGAGATTAACACCAAGATTACCACTAGACCAACAATCAAGAAGTAAACAATACTGTACCTGAATCAAGGAACCACTTGGATTCTAAGAACATTCCACCAACAGTGACAGGGCAAGCCACTAATTTATAAGAATAAAAACAAACCCACTTCCTTCTAGCACTGATGATGTTACTTATTTTGGTTATGAATTATCTGCAAGAAAACCACCCAGCTCAGAGATGTTTGTAGATTATGTTTTCTTGACTATTGAAAATTCTACCTAATTGATTGAGGGTCCCCAAAATACAGAATAAGGAATAAAATAAAATCTATTTTATACCTGCAGAATCAGTTTATCGTTATACCCAACACACTTACAAAAACTGAAGAAGGTCCCAAACTTTCATTTTGGCACATGTCCATAAATTACTATGTTTTAAAGTAATGGAGGGATTAAGGTTCCAAATAAAAGGACGCCTTTAAATTATGAAATATTGCAAGAGGCAACTGTATAGTTGCACTCTGTTTGGCAAAGAAGGAAGGAAGGAAGGAAGGAAGGAAGGAAGGAAGGAAGGAAGGAAGGAAGGAAGGAAGAAAGGAAGGAAGGAAGGAAGGAAGGAAGGAAGGAAGGAAGGAAAGATAGCCTTTTAGGTAGCCCCAATCTTTCAAATTAATATATGTGAAATGCAATAGGAAATGGGGAGACAGCACAATTATATATTGCAAGTTAGATTATTATAAGCAAATCCCCAAATTGCATGCATTGTTCATATTCTTTATTACTCACTATTTGTATATGTTCAGAAAGGTGCATGTCTAGAATTTAACAACATAATCATGAGCTTTTGGGGGGGTAGATGTGGTAGAAAGTGCATTTGCAGCAGCAAAGAGTCTGGACTGAGACCACACAGTTATGAGAGGAGAAGAGGGAAGAAGTTTAGAATAGCCACGCTCTAGAATCTCTAAGGATATTTGTAACTTTAATTTGGCAAGATTTTGTCCATTAAATGAAAGTAAATAAATGTTTTAACTTGACTGGACCCTGCTGCCTCATCTTTGGCTTGACCTGACACTGGTGACGTACTGTAAAATGCAGAACATATTACTGTAGTAATTCATCATTTCATCTTGGTCACTATTCTAGAAAAGCAGATAAATCTAATTTATATTGCTCTATCAAACACTGTTTTCATTCTTCTGTTCCAATTCTCTCTGTTTTTTAAATCAGATTCTTCCATGGAGTAACTGTGATAATCCCTGGAACACAAACCAATGTTTCTCCAACTACAGCATAGTAAATAACACCAACATGACAAGTGCTGTTGTGGAATTTTGGGAGTAAGTTAAAAAGTCTACACCTTTTAACTTTCTATGAATGTCCATTGTCCCTTTCCCAAAATCAAATAGAATATAAATTTTTACATATTTGTTTTCTGCTTTTAGGCGGAACATGCACCAAATGACAGATGGTCTGGAAAAACCAGGCCAGATTCGATGGCCATTAGCAATTACTCTGGCAATTGCCTGGGTTTTAGTATATTTCTGTATCTGGAAAGGAGTAGGCTGGACTGGAAAGGTAAGGGAATATATAACCATGCATTGCAGACTGAATCAACACAGTATTGTGAAAAATAGAGATACAGGTTCTCTTGAAGGGACATTCCTTCAAGAGATTTACATTGTATTTTAAATGCTGTACTATTTTTTATATTTATTTTTCACCTATACATTAATTATTACATATAGTTGTGTTTATCACTGTATAAATTGTATTGTGCAAGGTGATACTATCAATATTATCGGAGATACTTAAAATAGTAGTGTATCTTTCACATATTTCAAGTCAGCAAACTAAGAACATTACATATTGTATTTCTTAAATCCAATTTTAAATTAACTGACAGAGAGCTTAGCATAACAATTACTTTCATGTTATCCTCTTATTCTTTACAATAGGTAGTATATTTCTCTGCCACATATCCATACATCATGTTACTTATCTTGTTCTTCCGTGGAGTAACATTACCTGGAGCAAAAGATGGCATTTTATTCTATGTAACTCCTAAGTTTGAGAAGCTTTCAGACTCTGAGGTAAGTGGTCCCACAAATAATTTTGTTGTAGCTGATATTACTGACAATCCCATGGTTATTTTTCCCACTGAATTCATTATTATTCTTTCTAATTTTGAATTACAATATAAGTTACTATCCTAATCTTATTGGAGTGGCTTTATAATTCTTCATTAGGTCTGGCTGGATGCTGCCACACAGATCTTTTTTTCCTATGGTTTGGGTCTTGGCTCACTGATTGCCCTTGGAAGTTACAACACATTCAACAACAATATTTACAGGTAAAACAGTTACCATTATGCACTAGCCTTGTATGCTAGATATTACAGTTATAGGAAATTTATCCAATTCATAGAGTTGCTTTTTAATGGAAAAGACTACAATAAAACTTATACAAGCATACATTGTAGGGTTATGCAGCTTTTTAAAGGGACCAGTTGAGGGAGATTCACCCCTCCAGTTCTTCAACAAGTTGGACTAATTCAAGTCAGTGAAACCTTTTATCACATCGAATCATTGTGATACTTCTTCACCTGTCAAACATTTTATTAATGCAAGATCCCTGCAACTTGCATATCCCTATTAGAAAAATAATCATCCAGTATTATACCTATAGGTAATCTTCCCTACCAGAAGGAATATAAATAAAATATCTGGTTTTGGAAATACTATCCATCCATCCCTCTCTCTCTTTTCTCACAGGGATTCCATCATAGTGTGCTGCATAAACTCTTGCACAAGCATGTTTGCTGGTTTTGTTATTTTCTCCATTGTTGGATTTATGGCTTATGTAACTAAACGGCCTATTGAAGAGGTTGCAAAATCAGGTATGTTATTCCTTATTCTGTGTTATTGTTTTAGTGATAAAAGAAAAGACTACCACTGAAAATTTCTAAAGTTTGCTAAGTTCTCCCAAGAGTCTACTGTTCAACCTGGGTTTGTCTAATCAGGTAACATTTAATTAGCTGACTGTTTAAATGTGGAATCAATAAAATGGACAGGCAGAATCCTAATCTTAAAACTCTACTAAATTGGATAGTAGTGCATCCCAAATTTACTTCAAAATATCCCTTAGATCAGAATCTTTTCTTTGAATACTTCCTTCTACAGAAACTATTTTGCTATTCTATACAAGAGAAATACTGTCTGATAGTTGACTGGAGTTAGAAGAATGAAGACTCAGACTATGAGCAACTTTATGTGTTTTTTTTATTGGTAACTAGGGCCACTTTTATCTGCATAAGTGAAACATCAATAGCAGTTTCATGCTTAGCAAAATACACATTTCATACTGACATGTGGCACTCTGGCTATCTAACTCCAGAGGCCTGAAAGCAAAATGTCAATCAATCATTCAGTAGGGATTCAAGGACCAACTGGGAAATAATAACACATCCCGGGAAGCATATTGTTGAGAGCTGGGCAGCATACAAACTTAATACCTAAATAATATAGGATGGTAGATATCACTTTGCCCCTGATATGGACTGCAGATAAAGGAGCTAGAAGGGATTTGTCTGCATCCACTATCCAAAACAGTCAGCTTCTCCCAACTGTTAACCTAGGACTTGACAGCTCTAAAGCAGCATACACTAATCCAGTGTTTCTCAACCTTGGCAACTTGGAGATATGGGGACTTCAACTCCAATAATTCTCCATACAACATGCTCCAGCCAGAATACTCTAACTTCATCTATTAGCCTGGTGTCCACTATTATTCAACAGTAATATGTAGAAGAGAAGAGTCATTTATAATTAACTGTAAGTTACATAATGAATTACCAGTTGGCTTAAACCAGTGGTCTCCGTCCTTAGCTTCCCTTACACCTCATTTCTTTTTTTTTTTTCATATGCCTTTTTGTAAAAAAAATATGGAGTATCTTTTTACCAAATTATGGGAATTATTAGGAGAGATAAAACTAAAATAAATCAAATTAATAAGTGATGCAAAGCCATGCACCAAATAGCAGAGTTACTCTTGGAAATTACACCAGTTATAGTTCTGGGTGTAAATGTAGGTTCTAAAAAAGTTTTCCAAAGTTTTAACTGCTTTTAATATGTAGCTGTCATACCCAGGCCCCTGAGATCATGGAAAATGTGCAACAGTTCATGGGCTGTAGTGGGAAGAACACTGGTTATTTCATATTATCATAGGAAACTTTAGGTTTCTAATGGAAAGCAACTTCTTAAAGTGGAAAATTAGAAGCCAATATGGTAATGGTACACTGCACTATAGCATTAATATTTAACATGTTATTTATTGAATGGTAAAACTCTTTAGTGACCCCCTATAATAAACTTTATTTTGGTTAATTATGATATTGTAGCAATTGTAATACTTATAAATATTATGTAATGGAAATACAGTATTAGATGGCATTTTGCCAACTAAAACTGAACCATGATTTTTGTATTAGATGTATATTTAAGTGATAAAAGTGTTAGGTAGTCGCAGATACATATAAAATTTATGTTTGAAAAAGCTCATAAAAATGAACATTTTCCATAAATTCAGTCAGGGATGAAACGGCACAAGACAAACATAATGCGGAAGTGGGATCTCTCATCTGTCTCTAATTGCCAAAATTTAATTGTATATCAAGTTTAATGCAGATGGAATATGGATTAATGTAGTCAAACAATAGTTTAGAAATGGATGGAATAAATGCAATAGATTAAACTGCAGAGTATTTTTAATAAAGATTTAATAAATGATTTGGTTCACATAACGCTAAATTATAATTTTATTTTGATTTGTTTATTAAATGTATATGTCGCCTAGCTACTAAAAAAGTAACTGATGATAATGAATGAGAATGCATCAATCTTAGCAAGAACAATAACTTTTTTGGCTTGGCAATTCTAGTGATAGATGATTGATTGCAGACTTTAGATTCCCTGAGGAATGTCTGCTCTTCAAATTAGACAATACTGAAGTAGATTGATGAAAATTTTGATTCGTTATAAAGCAGTTTTGTGGGTTGATATGAAAAAACTTCATAGAATAGAATATTGTAAATGCTATTTCCAGAGTGCTTTTTCCAAAAGGTAACTGGATTTTTTTGGTTTTTGGTTTGCAAACATTTTACTTCTCATCCAAGAAGTTTATTCAGGTCCTTTTGGAAAAAACACCTTTGGGACAACCATGACCTGGATGATTGAAAATCTCCATAGATATTTACTGTATTGTTGTTACTATGTGAACCTTTGAAACTTTTAAAAATGAGCTCTGTAACATTAACTGTATTCTACTTTTGTTTACACTTTAATTCGCGTGTCATTAATCACTTATTTCAGTTCTAATCAATAAATTCATCATTATATTTTTAAATATATTAAAAAGAATAATAATGTCAATAAGCTTGTATTGCAAAAGAGAACTTCAAAGACAATGCATTTTTACCTCCATTACTAGGTCCAGGACTTGCATTTTTAGCTTATCCAGAAGCTGTAACACAACTTCCCATCTCTCCATTGTGGGCAATACTGTTCTTTTCTATGTTGCTTATGCTTGGAATTGACAGTCAGGTAACACAGATGCAATATTCTTTTTCTTCTCTATTATTATTATTCATGGATCCATTGTATATACTCCATCTCATGTAATTATTTCTGGGGAATTTATATGACATTTCAAGTAGGACAACCTTTGGCTTAGAGACTACGGGTAGCCTGAGAATGAGTGCAGGTGTTCACATTAATGAGAAGTTTAAGAGGCCATTTTCAAAATAATCAACACATGCAGTACAACCTACCATCACAAAAGAGCAGCTTCTGCCTCTTTATTAGAAAATTCTGAGAAAATAGAGAACCTTCTGAGAACTTTCTTGTACCTTTAATTTGAGAGACTTGCTCAGAGAATTAATTACAGAGAAATTAACTCTTTTTGTCTATATTCCTACAAGACAGGCTGATATGGAACTTCTCACAAAAAAATCCAAAATGGGGTGAACTGTAGAGTCTCTTGTGAGAATGTTACTATGTCATGGCTCCATACTTACAGTTTTCATCTGCTAAAGCGGCAGTCCCCAACCTTTCCAGTTTGGTGTACCGGCAGAAGGGGAGGAGAAGAGAGTGGATGGTCCCATGTGAGTGGCAGGTGCACACATTTGCATTCACAGCTCCGTTTGCATAAGTGGCACCATGGCCCAGGAATTGTGCTAAACCATTAAGAAAAAAATGGTCCCACTACAAAAATATTTTCTTCCTCTGGTTTGAAATGACAAATTCAAAACATACACAGACATATAATAAATAAAATTTGAACTGAATACCTTCTTAAATAATTCAGTGGGCATGCAGATGTGAAAAAAATAATTGCCATTTTTCTAAACAGTTTCTCTCACTATAGAATTTTTACAAGCAAAAATTCAGTTGATCCAAGATTGTAAACAATCCCTACCACTACAACCCAAACAAGACCATCTTCTTTCCAATATCACTTCTTTCACAGCATCTGAGCATTTTCTTGCTGATGTTTCATGAATGGTGCAATAGTTGAATAATAAAATAGTTGGTTGAGTTAGATGGCTATATAAATGTTATAAATAAATAAATAATATCTTTAAGGTCTGAGTAATGATAGTGCAGCTGTTGGCTTCCTTGAAAGTCAGTGAAAATGAAAATGAAAAGTAGGTTCAACTAGAACAGGGGTGTCAAACTTGCATCGTCATGACGTTGTCACATGACATATCAGGACTTTTTGCCCTTCGCTAAACTGGACGTGGGCATAGCCAGTGCGAGACACATCTGGCCCACGGGCCATGAGTTTGACAACCCTGAGCTAGAACAAGAAAACAAAAGAGGAATTCCATTATAGGTGGCCCTGTTTGCTTGTTCTTGGCCTTCTCTTATATATTGCAATTGTTAAACCGCCAGGAAGAATTCAAATTAGGTTGTTTCATAAAAACTGCTTATATAAGTACAAAATTAAATGTGGCAGTTTTTTACTTAGACAGTGAAACTGATCAGAGGATTGAGGTTGTAGTCTTTTATTAATATTCAAATAAAACTTTTATTAAAAATAAATACAAACTACAGAATAAAAATTACCACACTGCCAAGAGACATTTCCAGTAGAAATAGTATGTCTCATATCCCAGATTAGAATTACATCCTTATTTTTTCTACCAGCTGCATGTTAATGTATGTATAAAAATTACCCCATAAATAAACTTCTTTAAAAAATTTATTAGAAAAATACTTTATTAAACATATTTACACAATTAAAATAGAACAATACATTCTGCTTATTGCAACGTGAGTGAGGCAGTGTTCACTCAATTTGACATCTCTCAAGTTATATAGAATGCATACTCATTCACCGTTTTTACAGTGATATATAACACAGATTTTCATCCAATTGATATATTACAAACATACACCTAATTGCAAGGAATATTATTAGCTTTCACCATACCTTCTTATTTATCTTTCTTTTGTTCATTTCATATCTTCATTCCAACCAACTTCTAAATGGTTTGAAAACATTCTTATGCTACTTATGAAATAGTCAGCATTCATTTTAGGAGAAACAGGTTAATTGATCAGCTGCAGCACTATAAAATCTATCAGACTGCACCACTGAAAAGCTTTCCTAATGTCATCCCAAATTGGGGGGGGGGGATAAGGTGAATGTATATATACCTAAATCCATTTTTTTGTTGATTTGTGTGTAACTTCTATTCCCATTTTAGTTCTGTACTGTTGAAGGATTCATAACAGCACTAGTGGATGAATTTCCAAAACTGTTACGCAATCGAAGAGAAATTTTCATTGCTCTTGTGTGCATTGTGTCATACGTAATAGGACTGTCTAATATTACTCAGGTAAGTCATATTTGGGGGATTGTCTGTCACAAATCTGATACACTTGCATTTTCTTCTTTCAGTGAAGAATTAAGAGTTTCATCTATGTTTTTATATGAAAATTTTACAACAGAAATCAGAACTAAACAGAAGACTAGTTGAAAAATGGGTGAAATAAGCAAAACTTTTCAATCCTCAGAGGTATACTGTAGAAAAGTCCTTGAAGCCTGCAAAGCTGTTTCCTCAGAATACAGATATACTGTGGCAATATAGACCTTGGGCCAGCCCAGAGTTTGCTAATAGGAGATATTTCAGCTTTTAATATTATCTAAAGAATTTGAGATTAGCACAGTGTGGTTTGTTACAGTACAATGAAACATGTTTTATTCAAGCTATACATGTTTCTCAAAGAAAATCCTGTTAATCACACTAGGAAACAGGATTGCAGCAAAAATATAATCTTTCCATTATTAGCCAATAATCTCGGCTAGAAGAATCACATAAAGACCTTGTTATTATGAATACTGCCAATATTGCCATTGCTTAGTTTGAGAATAGCATAAAATATCAATTTCTTGTATGTTACATAATCCAAAGTAAATAAATAATAATAATATTTACCTTATTTTCAAAGACAGTTCTGTCTATTTGCTTATATTAAAAGCTAGAACCAAGAATTGGGTGGAGAGGAGAGTATACTTAGAGAACATTAAGCAACATATAATAAAGTTATGTAGTGGGGAATCAAACAAATAGGTGTACTTGTAAGAGCTTTCTATGAATAATAAATGAATTATTGTAGCCCGTATTACAAAATAACATAAACAGAACCTCAATGAAAAGTTAGCATAAACAAAAGTAGACATGTTAGAAAACAGTTTATAACCTGATTATCTCTTTCCCATTGCAGGGTGGACTCTATGTGTTCAAACTTTTTGACTATTACTCAGCAAGTGGAATGAGTCTTTTATTTCTTGTGTTCTTTGAGTGTATCTCCATATCCTGGTGTTATGGTATGTCATGTTTGGTGTTTCATTCTATTAGAGTTCAAGGCAATACATAAGAGTTTTCCAGTCATTTTATCCCTCAAACAATCCTATAAACCAGCCTAAATTTTGAGAGAAAAAATGTCTTAAGTCAGTTCAATTTTAGTCTGTTGCCATTGTTGATTTTAATTCTGTTCATCCTCAAACACAACATTGATATTTCCTGCCCAATAATGGAAATATGTGTAATGCATCTCTCAGGATGATACCTCATATGTCTAACGAGATGTATGAGACACCACTATTCTGATGGACAAGCAGCAATCCCATCTTACTAGGGTTCAATTTAAGCCTGTTCTTTCTCATTCCATTGAGACTCTCAAAACCTGCAGATGCTAGGAAAAGCTGGCCTGAGGTGACGATGTGAAAGCTGGGTACAATCAGCATATTGATAATACTGAATTCCAAATTGCCAGATGACCTCTCCTAATAATTTTATGTAAATAGGAGAGGGGAGAAAATAAAACCCACAACACCCCGCAAAGGAGTAAATATTGGAGTGATCTCTCTTTCCCAACAATCACCTACTGAGGAAGGAATAAAACCATTGCACCAAATGGTGCTAAATCCCCAATTCCTGCAGATGGTTAGGAGGACACCCTTTCAATCATTCAGATCCAATTGCTGCAGTTTAATTTTGTCAAAGGGCTATAACCCAAATACCAGATAGTTTTCCATGGTCTGTCAGAAGCAGAAAATTCACAAACTGCAAAGTTCTCCCCCACCACCCCTCAAAAAAAACAAAACCTATTTTCAAGGCATTTCCATAATGACTTATTAATCAAATTTCATAAATTTTAACGTTGCATTTGTTGATTTTTCTGTTTTTGTAATATAAATGTATCTTAAGATACATACCAGAAGCTCTATTTTCTTTAGAGAAACAAAAGATGCACTTGATCTTGCTTACAAACAGTATTGTATTTACAGAAAGACTTTAACCTAGATAACAGTTCCTGATGCTACTGCCCCTGAGGAACTCTGTTTCTAGAATGCTGGACACAAATTGTTGCTCATACTACTACCTGCTGTAAGAAAAATTAGCTATATATTAGATGTTATTTTGACTGTTACTTTTCACTTCATGTCTCTTTACAAGGCAGACATCTCTTCCATTTCACCAGTGTTAGAAACCAATCCTCCTTTCAATCTTGTTCTTTTCAGCAAGATCTTGCTGAAAGGTGCACAGATATCTCCTGGGTAAACATACAACTTATTGTATGGATTACATGGGAACCATTGCTACTATTAGAGTTGTTATCAAGATCCATAATGTATTGAATCAAGCAGATACACACACCTCTTATCAAATACATTCATCATTGAAGACAACTAATATTTGTTTTATTTATTTAGGTGTAAACCGCTTCTATGACAATATCCAAGAGATGGTTGGGTACAAGCCCTGCATCTGGTGGAAGCTTTGTTGGTCTTTCTTTACTCCAATCATTGTGGCAGTAAGAAATAAAACTATTGTTTTATCATATGAAAGCTAATAATTTATCTTACCATTTTGCAAAAGTATAGTTTTAAACAAACCTCTTTCTGTAATTTTTTGAATTGTAACTTACAGAAAATTCATATTCAAAATAAATTATCTAAAGAAGGATTTAAGAACACCTCCTTCCTAAAACAATACATTGTACTTCATGATTGAGTGATTAATGTTTACAACTCTTAGGAAATAATTATGTATTCAACAGAAAAAAGATGACATCTTGATATTCTCCTCTTAAATGGATGAGGATTCATTCATTCACCCTTTAGATATATACCATAAATGTAGAGGAAGAGTTCATCAAATCCCCTAATTATGCAAAGAGAGAAAAATTATCTGTGGCCATTGTTTCTTCTCATAGGCTCCAATATTCATTACCATAGCAGGATTTTAACTGAACTAAGATTTTAAATGAACTAAAAGAAAAACAGGCTATCCTCCTAAAACCCTTGGAACTTCACTAGAGTCAAAAAAGCTCTTTTTTTTTAGCTTAGATCAGAGATGCCAAACTTGCAGCCCACGGGCCAGATGCATCACACACAGGTCACGCCCAACCCAGTTCCGCAAAGGCAAAAAACACGACATCACATGATGCAATCAAGTTTGACACCCATGGCTTAGATAATAACATATTACTTACTTTATTAGAAATTACTAGAAACATTGTTAAATTTGTTAAAGGACCCAAAAATAAATAGAGAGAAAGAAGGTATCTTCATAGTTTTCATTTTGTGAACAGATATTTTAAAAATGACAATTTTATACAAAAAAACAATGTTTGGGAAATATGAGCACAATTTTCTGAGATGCTATGCTCTGGCTTCCTGTTATAGTGTGTTGATTCTGCACTGTACAGGTTTGATCCCAGAAAAATCAGAAATCCCATGGTATATGGTGAATAATGTGAATAGTTCATTGCTGTGTTTAAGGGAAATATTAGAAACATGGAATTTAGGATCTGCAAACCTAGTTTTTCTGTTCCTGTTTTTTTCTGCCATCAAATTGCTAAATTCTTCCTTTTTTTTTCCTTTTCCTTGATTCCATTAGTAGAGTGGAATGGAATGGAATGGAATGGAATAGAATAGAATAGAATAGAATAGAATAGAATAGAATAGAATAGA